AGCCAGTCACCTCCTCCAAATCCTCTTTTCAATTCAGCTTCAAGGTTGTTCTTTCTCCAAAAAATCTTTACTGTAACGTTTGGACTTTTTTTAATTCAAAAAATTGCTTTTGATTTGTCGGTATGATTGAACTAACGAAAAGATTTATGTTTTAGAGCTTTTACTCCGAAGGAATTAGAGCATCTCAAATCACTCTTCACTTCCCTAGCTGCCCAGTCTCAGAACAATGGTCAATATGTTTCTTCGCCTGTTTTTCAGGTTTTCTTTTTTGGGTTTTACCCATTTCTAGTTATGAATGTTTGTTTTGATTTTCTTGGGAAGTTTCCCCCCTTAACGAAAGTACTAGTTTGGATGTAGGCTTACTTCGGGTTAAAAGGTCCTCTTGGAGACAGAATGTTACAGAATGTTCGATTTAGCCACCCAGGGACGCAAAGACGATAAGCTTACCTATGAAGACCTCGTGATCACTAAAGTAATTACCTTCGAGTCTACCGTATTCGACACTCACCTAAAATCGAAGTCGCATAGATTGAAAATTTTATTGTTGGTTATTTATCACTGCTGAGCACATATGATTAAGAAACAAATGTTGTTGGTTATATGTAGCTTCATTTGGTTGTTACTTTTGTTATATGTTTTTACTTATGGGGTGGAAGTAAAAAGGAAAAACATCCAAGTATTCTTAAATGATTGAAGTTAAAGTTCAAGATTTTGTGCATGACAAAATTCATGGTTTTAATGTGGAATGGTCACCGTATGTTAGTGTTTGTTACCTTTTTTATTATTTGTTTATTCCCAATCAAATGCTTCAAGAGTTTAACTTTTGAAGTAGAAAACTAGTGTCAGAAGGTAATTAACAAGAGCAACAGCTAAGGGAACCTATGTTAATTGGTGTTTTGAACTGAACTTGCAGGCCTATTGGTTTTATATTTCAATTTTTGTAGGGGACTTATGTGAAAGGGACAGATGATGAGATTGAGGAGTTTATTTATCGATTGTTGGATGTCACAGATGATGAAGTTTTGACGAGGTAAAATGATGATTGTCTGCGGTAACGTTTTCTTTACTTCACCAACTTTTTCCTGATTATAAAAATTGTTTCTGTCAACATTTATTTCCCAAAATATGAAACCTAATTATGGAACAAAATTTTCAAGTTAGAAGCTTCTATTACCAATCTAATTATTGGAAGCTTCTTGAATTTCTAGCCATCTCTATCATGTTAGAAACCTTCTAACTTATGTGGCTCCCTCTCAACTACAGGTCCGATTTAGAATCTGGCCTAGTCACAATGTTTGACCATATATTCCACCTGAAAGGTTCTCAACCAGAATGAAATTCACGCTGCTACATGGTGGAGACATTTCTGAATACTGCGACATTCTCAAAGGATGATGGGGAACGTAATGATAAAAGTATGTCCTTTGAGGATTTCAGATGCTGGTGTACTCTTGTACCATCTGTGAAGAAGTTCCTTTCAAACTTACTAATGCCACCAGATCCAGGTTCTTCATGCTTCTTCTCTGATATGTGCCCTTTTCTTTTGTAATCTTTATCATTCTAGCAGCATCATTGGAGACATAATTTCTTTAAAGTATGAATAGATATGTATATATTATATAATTTAGAATCTGTATCAGTGTGACATTGTTCAACCATGCTTGTGTTTAACTTAGCAAAATTATGTAGTATCTCAATGTGATTTGATTTTATGTCCCCTCCAGCTTAACTCCGATTAAAGCCTGATTCATTTTGGAAAAACTTATTTTGTTTGTGTTACACTAATTTGTGAAGGCTTAATTTTGATTAAGCTGGATTATAGATTAACTGGATACATGTCCAGATGGAAGTTACACCAAATCATATCCTGTATCCTATGATTTTGATTGAAATTAGTATCTTAGGTCCAGTTTTAATGTTATTTTTCTGTGTAGGGAGACCGGGATCTCAGATTCCTAAATTGTTGCATTCAGAGAATATTGATCCCAATATATTATTATTGAGAGATGAATATGCTTGGCATATAGGAGGGGCTCTATCTCATGAAGAGATAGAGGAATGGAAACTCTTGTATCATAGTTCATTAAATGGCTTAAATTTTAACACATTCTTGGGGAACATATCGTAAGTACCCTACTTCCTTTTTGCTACCATCTTATCTCTATTCAGACCCTGTAAATTGTTGTTCCCATCGGAGTTCAAGTCATAAGAAATTAATTATCTGATTTGTTGTATTTGTTGCTTTTCTAAACTATGACCGATTGATCTTTTAGACAATTTTGGAAGACCTATGGATAATTTTAGTGTTCTGTTTTGAAAATATGAAATTGGTCATATCTGATTCTTTTTGAATGAATTATGACTGTATTTTTCTCATTTTTCTTGAAGACTTCCAATCATTAAACTCAACCTTGTGTAACATGCTAAAATTATGGTACGGGCTGTATGGCCTCCATTGCTTTTATAACTTCAGGTATTTATCCTTGCTTCTTTATCTAGTTTAATTTGAAGATGCTTTGATCAAGAACTATGTAAACCATGTAGTTGATGCACTCTGCTCTTTAGCATATTATACATGGAACAGTAAGAGCTCATTGTGGAAGCTGATAAACTTGGTGATGCATCTATTAGGGATACCTAAAAGAAACTAACAAGCACTAAACTACCTCTCGTCTCTTTGTGACGCATCTAATACCTTTCTTGTCTATGATGAATTATGGTTTTTTTAATAGAATTTGCCAATTGGTCTTATTTTTCTGACCGCAAGGTTTGTTTCTGAGGCTTCTTTGTGAGCGCTCCATTATGTAAAATAGATAAAATGGAAAATTTCTCTTCATCAGATGATGAATTGTTTAACAATTGTTTTGGTCTTTCTCTGTTTTATTTTATTTTCTTTTCCTTAATCTCCCTGAAGAAAATATTGATTCCTAGTACGTTCTAATTTTATTTCATTTTCTTGGTTGATGGGATCGTCTTTTTATAGGTTGCCTAATTACTCAATTGAACTGCAGAAATGATGATGGGCGAACAGTCCTGATTATCAATGATAGAGAAGGTTACATATTTGGAGGTTTTGCTTCTCAGCCTTGGGAGAGGCATAGCGATTTCTATGGGGACATGAAGTCTTTTCTATTTCAGCTCTACCCAGTGGCATCTATTTTTAGGCCAACTGGAGCAAACAATAATTTGCAATGGGTATGCTTTTACTTGCTCTTGTATCGTTTTCTTCTAGGTTTGTTTTCTCTTTCATTTCAAGCTGAAACCAAATATGTTTGAATCCTTTGCCTCCGATTCCTGTACTTATATGTTGGTTCTTGCTAGTAGGCCTGTCATTATTGGAAGAAACTCTCTAGTGATTTTAGGGAAAAAATTAGAGAATTTAAATCTAGACTGTTTCCTGAACAGTTATGCCATCTTGCAGCACACTTCGAATTTTGCAGAATTTATTTTAATAGCTTTCATAACTTGAGAACAGATTGGAATTATCGGTAAACATTGCTTGGGGTTGTCCAATATTGATTCTTCTAAAATCAGGGATTGAAGAGGTTTTTAGTGCCCACTAAGATGCAAGTAATTCTTAATGCTGGGCCTTGGGGTGGTTTGTCCAATTCCATTTCCAACTTTTTGATGTAGTTGATTCATATCCCCCTTTTTTATCTACTCCAAATTTTGAGTGGAAATCTGCACACTTCTTATACATATATAAGTTAAGCTGTTTATGTTTCTAACAATAAGCATTTGCAGTGTGGTGCAAACTTCAGTTCAGAGACAATCCCGAATGGCATTGGTTTTGGAGGACGCATAAATCACTTTGGCTTGTTCATCTCGGCAAGCTTTGATGAAGGGCATACTTTTTCCTGTACCACTTTCAATAGCCCTTGCCTTTCTAAGACCAGCAAAATATACCCATAAGTTATAGAATGCTGGGGAATTGTTAGAAAAGGAGTGGAACAAGAAAAAGTGGATGCCGTTAAGGGCACGGTGTTAGAAAGGTTCAAGGAGGACAGACACATGCTCAACATGGTGGGTATTGCAAATGCAAGCGAGTAGCATGGTGCTTGATAATCTACAAAAGTTGCGTAAGTAAATGATGAAACCAAATCATTGCAGCACTGTACACTAGAATTATTTGAGTATGCCCTTCGTTAGTTGTGTATTACTGGATCCTATGTATGCTGCCGTGGATGATGAATCCATGCCCTTTGAAATGTTGTAATGCTATACGCTGTCTGGATTTAAAATTATCCGTACTGAGGATTAACGACCGCTTATTGTGAAATATTGATAGCCATTATAATATCCTTTACTATTTGTTGGTGAAATCTGAATTGCTGCTTTTCAATATTCTTATATAGTCTTTCATTATACTCGCTTACTATGAGTCAACAATCTTTAGAGCATGTGGTCAAAAGTTTTCTTCTTTTTTTCTAGATTGTGAGTTCATACCTATTTGGAATAAAAATTCTGCTTCCTCTTTTTGAAGTAGGAATTGTTAAACAAAATATAGTCGTTCACCATGAAGAAAAATCATAAAAATATCAATTAACACTATTAAATTAAACTTTTCAAAATTTTTAATAATATTCAGCCTAGAATGATATTTTTCATAATTATTATTTCGTAATTGATAAGTAAATTTTTTATATAAATATATTCAATAAAACACAATGTATCTTGGGACGAATTATGCTTTGTCATGAGTCACTATCTTAATTTTTTTATTATTGAAAATATATATATATAAATAAATATATATACTCAAATTTCTTAATTTAAATTTATTTTGATTTTATTTTAATTTTTTATTCCTTATTATATTTATTTCTTTGGGTTGGTATCATAATTAAATATACTTAACGATAGATTAATCGTTGTTTGTTGGTGAAGAAAAAAATTATAAGACTAGTATATTAAATAATTATCATTATTGAATCCCATGGAAAATTAAATAATTTAGCTTTGCTTTTGTCACACACTTGGACACAAACCAGCTTTCATAGTACTATAACTATAGTAAGAAGTCTAGAGTCTAGACACACACAAAAGAGAAGCTCCATTTTTTTCTCTGCAATTAATCTATGGAGGTCGGGAAGGAACCTCAATCAAACACTACGACGATGAGAAAAGCTCTGCTAATAATAAATTGCATCATCCTTTCTATAGGTAACTGTGCAGGTCCACTTATGATGAAACTCTACTTCATGCATGGTGGTAAACGAGTCTGGTTCTCGAGCTGGCTGGAGACCGGTGCTTGGCCCGTCATCCTCCTCCCAATCTCTTGTGCTTATTTTTACCGTTCTAGGACCCAACCCAGTTCCCAAAACAAGCTTTTCCTTATGAAACCGCACTTGTTCCTTGCTGCCGCCGTCATCGGAATCCTCACCGGCCTTGACAACTACCTCTACGCCTATGGGATCGATCGTCTTCCGGTTTCGACTTCAGCTTTAGTAATTGCGTCGCAGTTGGCTTTCACAGCGGGTTTTGCTTTTGTTTTGGTGAAGCAAAAGTTCACTCCTTATTCCATAAACGCTGTGTTTATGTTAACGATCGGAGCCGGTGTTCTAGCCATGAATACTAGCGGCGACCGCCCAGCGGATGAATCAAAGGGTGAATACGTTTTGGGGTTCCTAATGACCCTCGGAGCTTCGGCTTTGTATGGATTCATTCTGCCCTTGGTCGAGTTAACGTACAAGAAAGCAAAGCAAGATATCAGCTACGCTCTTGTGATGGAGATTCAAATGGTGATGTGCTTGTTTGCTACTGTTGTTTGCACCATTGGCATGCTGGCTAACGATGATTTCAAGGTTACTTTTTCTTCTCTCTTTCTGTCATAAACTCTAGCCGGCTTAAGCATATCCCATAATTTCCATTAAATCAAATTATATAGTTTAATTAATCAATGAGTCTCTCTCCTAATTAAACAACATATTGAGTTGTATTTTGCAGGTAATTCCAAGGGAGGCAAGAAAATACGAGCTAGGGGAAACAAATTATTACGTGATTGTGATTTGTAGTGCAATAATATGGCAATGTTTCTTCTTGGGAGCCATAGGAGTAATCTTTTGTGCGTCGTCTTTGTTGTCGGGGATTATAATTGCTGTTTTATTACCCGTAACTGAGATTTTGGCAGTCATTTTCTACAAGGAAAGTTTCCATGCGGAGAAGGGGGTGGCGCTTGCACTCTCGCTTTGGGGCTTCTTGTCTTACTTCTACGGTGAGATTAAGGAATCCAATAAAAACAAACCCACCTTTCAAACGGAGATGGATTCAGTTTCTGACAGACAAGGAGGTGTGTAAAACACCGGCGATCATCCTATGTCCGACCGACCATGGCTAAAAGTTTCATGGAATATTGCTGCATAAATTTATGAAACAATTTTATCATAGCTAAATCCAAAATTACCTTTCAATGTTCTAGTAAGAATTTATGATTTCACTTCCATAAATATTAATACAATATATTCCCAAATTTTCTTCTCCAACTATTTATACAATCTAATTTGACCTATTAGCATAAATATAAACTTGGTAAAGTACACAAATTGTCCCCGATTATAGGTCATTGCTTTGTTGAACTCCGACTACTAAAAGTTACAAAGTGATTTTTAACTATATATAAGGTGTTACTTTTTTGAGTCCGTTAAATATTAAAAGTTATATAATGATCACCCAACTTTTCGTAGGTTCCAAATTCGTCATTTTATGTTAAAAAATTGACGGTCGTCTAAACTGGACGCTAACATGTTGACCGAGATATGATAGTTGTCTGAGATTCTAATATCATATTTTATCATATCTCAGTCAGCATATTAACATTCAACTTAGATTGTCATCAATTTTTTAACAAAAAAATGATGATTTTGGAACATATGACTAGTTGGGTGACTATTTTATAACTTTTAATAGTCAGAGGACTCAACAAGGCAATTCTCTATAGTTGAGGAACCATTTTATAACTTTTAATAATTGAAAGACTCAACAAAGCAATATCTAATATGTATTTTTTACCCTATAAAATTTATGTATTGATTGAATGATCTTAATGCTAAAATAAAATGTTATTTTTCTGAAACAACATAAATTCAAATAATTGTATCTGTAGATTATGTATTATTACAAGTTAAATTCTAAATAAATACTATCTTATTATCAATTCATGAATATTTGCATTATGAATGCATCTAATTGTTGAAAAGCTGTTGGATGGATGATTGGTAATGATGGTGATAGTGGAACTTACAGGGGTTTTAGGATTTCAGGCCTCCCTCCTTCGGTAGTAGAGAGTCGACTCACTTGTTCTCATGGCTCCTCATTGGTATGTGTCAGTATCTGATATGCGGACCAAGGATGACGACCTCCAGTAGGCCGTTAAATTACATCATGGGATCTATATAATATCTTGAAAAATCAATCTATAATTTTTTTTAAACTTTTGGTGAATTAAAAATAATTTATATGATGATTGAAAAATAATTTATATGATGATTAAATTAATATTTTAAGCCTTGAATAAATGTCTAATAATATATATATTAATTTCGAATTAAATTATTCTTGGGTTGGAATTGGTTAGTGACTAAAATGTGATAAACTGAGAGTTTGATTGCTAAAGTGTAAAGTTAGGATTTAGAGTGACCAAGTGAAAACAAGGGAAAAGATGAATGATGGATACTTAATTATCCCATTCAAAAACTTCTTTTTTATTAGTTTAAGGCTAATTACAAGGTAATATTTCTTCGGAAAACTCTCAACCCATTCACAATGAACGCTCAAACACCTACGATGTGTTTGAACTCGGAACCTCTAAGAATAACAATCATTTCTTTAATCACTGAAGTAACTTGATTTGTGCCCCGTTCATAAAGCTTAAACTATGGATTTTGATAAATAAACATGCAAGATGTCAAAAACTTATAATTTGATTCTATATACCCCAAATTAGAAACATTAAATCAAATTCACCAAAGCCAACTTGCTAGTCAAAACCACCATTAAAGAAGCTCTCTTAAAACCTTAGAACTTTGATTTAGGGATTAACCCTAAATACTTATCCGAACCACAAATTAAGCAAATATTTAGAATCCTTGCATCCCTAACTTTCATTTCCGATAACATTCATCTCATTTTACAAGCAGGAAAGTTTGAGACTTAAATTTTCATTTTTAGAGACTAAACCATTTTAATTATCTAAACCCCAAATTGATTACATGTTTTATAAACTCTAAACCTCAAATTTCATTTGATATGCTTTTTTTGAGATGTTTGATTTAGTGATTAAACTCATTTAGCCATCCAAACTCAAAATTAAATGCATATTTAGAAAGCTCTAGTTACAAGCTTTCTTTCATTTCTAATTTAGAGAAAGTTAACTTAAAATCCTAAAATTGAATTTAGGGATTCAAATATTTAAGGGATCAAAATCCTAAATTGAGTACACCATATCTTTATGAAGAAAGTGTAATCACCATTTTTACCTCCCCATTCTAGCAGCTTCACGTTTCAGCTTCAACAGCTACCAACAACTCCAACAACGACAACCGTCCAGCTGTTCGTCGCTTCACCACAACAGCATTCCAGCAGCTTCTAGTAAACCAGCTGTCCCTCCACGTTTTAGCAAGCAACCCAGCTGTCCCTCCTACAGCTCACCACCAAACAAACAACAACCATTATTTTTGTTTTAAGCATGTAATATGGGTTATTAAAACCCAACAAAACAGGAGAATAACTTCTCTCCTCCTCTATCCCCGATCGAGCAACAATACATACAAAGGATTGGAAATAAAAACACAACCAAGGTTGATTTCATTTTTTTCTTGTATTTTTCAGCTTTACATATTATTATATATATTTTTTAAATCAAACAACATGTTAAATAAATAAAAAAATAAAAAAGAGAAAAGTTGGAAGCTTTGGGGTGTTCTGCGTGTGAGATAAAGAGGAAGAAGATGAGTTTTAAGTTTATAAAACTTTTGGGTAAACCATGCGTCAGGTCCTTAGGCTTTGAGAGTTTATTACTTTATTCACTTAAAATAGGGAAAATCATGAAATAACCCCTCTAATTTAGAAGCCTATTTACAGTTTAGTCACCGATTATTTATTTATTTATTTTATTTCGATTTTTGCATGCTAATTTCTATTTTATTTCATTTTAGTCATTAGTTAATTTTGTTATTATTTTATTTATGAATATGATTACATAATTTTAATTTTCTTTATTTTGGTCATTATTTAATTGCCATTTTATTTTATTATTGTCCTTCATTTTTCAATACTTTAAATATAGTACTTTATTTATTTATTTATTTATGTTTTATTCACTAAATATTTACATGAAATACAATATAATAATTTCATATTTGATTAAATAATAATGTTTATTTATTTTTAAATATTAAGAAAGGGAACTAGACGTCCTATTCTGGTATTTTAAAAAATAAATAAATATCTTATTTATAAATATATATATATATATATATACTTCATTTTTATTATTTTTAAGAAAAAATATTATATTCTTCTTAATATTTATTTATTTTTAATATCAAAGAAATGAGTTGTCTTAAAGCAACTAGAAGTCATTTTCTGATATTTTTAAATAAATAAATATCATACTTTTATAAATTATATATATTTATTTTTTTAGAAAAATGTGTTATTAATATTTATTTATTTATTAATATTAAGAAAGAGGTTGTCTTAAAGCAACTAGACGTCCTTTTATGATATTTCTATGTAAATGAATATCTTATTTATAAAAATATAAAAAAATATATATATTTATAAAAATTAATATATTTTCTTGGAATTATACTAATAAATTTGAAATCACAGGATTATGAATTAAATATATTTTTGAATTCTTAAATTTTCAATAATAGAGACAATTTATAATTAATGGGTACCAATTTTGGGCGTTATAGGGGTGCTAATCCTTCCCTAAATGTAACCGACCACAAATCGTTTTTTTACTAAATTTTTTTGGTTATACGCAGATCAATTTATCTTTTAAATTATGTTTTCTTAAAATCTATTTTAAAAGATTTATTTTAGGTATTTGACCTACCTAACCCAAAAAGGTCAATGGCGACTCCCAAAACATTTTTTAAAATCAAAATCATTTATTTATTCATTTTACTTTTCCCGCCAAGTAAAAATTCGTACCCGGACAAAAACCGGTTACGACAGCTTGGCAACTCCGTTGGGGACCTGGTCAAGCTTTAAAATCAATTATAATTTGTCTTTGTTATTGGAAATTTAAGAATTCAAAAATATAATTAATTTATAATTCTTTTCTTTCAATTTTTTTATATATACTTATGGTTTTCATAATATTTTTTTCTTCTTTATTAATGTTTTTATTTTAATTTCAGGTATTAAATTTCATTCTTTAATTGTTTGCCAAAGGTTTAAAAATTTCTCCTCACACACAACACTTGCATTACATAACATAAGCTTTATAATCAAGCTTGTCCCTTTTAAGTGAGAGTGAAAGCGACGTCTTCGTGAGAATTTATTCTCCGTGTCAGACCTAGCAAGTAACTTTCGGGGTTCATATACTCCATGTCTTCGTGAGAATTTATTCTCCGTGTCAGGCATAGGGAAATGTGTCCACTCTAATTGAACTCGGTACGCTTAAGTCTGTGATGGACTAGGATTGAGGGTTTGGCATCCCAAAGGGGCACCAACAAGGACAATTCGAGTACCTTTACTTCTAGAACTGAAACCCTTCATATAATAAACCCTAGAAATTCTCCTGATCTAAGACAATAATGAAACCCTATCCATAGGTGTACACAAAGGAGAAATAAGTTCTAACTTTTTGTTTTTTTTAATTTATTTGATTTTTTTTCTTTTTTATGAATAAATGCTGTAAACTAGTAATCATGCGGTTAGGTTAATTTTTCCAAACAAAGAATGGAACTAGAAAACATGAGGTTAGGATTTATACCTTGATAGATAGAATATTTTCTTTCCATTAATTGGTACTAACAATTTTGTTTTTTCTTATTTTTTTCCCATGCATGTTATTTTGCTCTAACTTGTTTATATTGATTTCTTTTGTTTGCATTGCATGATCATGACATAACCAAAAAGGTGTTGACTTGAAAGACTGTTTATCAAATTGGAAAGTTTTCATAAATGGATAAAAAGTTTTATGATCAAGCAAACTATGACGCAACTAAGGAATGGCATCCTGATGGAACTCCGAGGATAGAAGCGAGCTATGCACACAAAGATCCTATTATATTAATACCAAAAGTATTCCACAAAGATCCTATTAGATTGATACCAAAAACATTCTACGGTAAGAGTATCAGTCAGAGC